GTCCAGATAGATGACATCCGTTGCTTTTCCCTTGTCCACTGCTGCAGTCACTCTTTCATAGAAAGCCACTAGGTTGGGCAGACAGGACTTGCCCTTGGTGAAGCCCTGCTGGCTGTCTCGAATCACCTCCCTGTCCTCCCATGTCCTTGAGCACAGCTTCTAGGAGGATCTGTTCCATGATCTTCCCAGGCACAGAGGTGAGGCTGGCAGGGCGGTAGTTCCCAGGGTCCTCCTTTCTTCCCTTTTTAAAAATGGGGACAACATTCCCTTTCTTCCAGTCACCAGGGACTTCACCTGACTGCCATGATTTTTCAAATATCATGGAGAGTGTGGCAACTCCATCAGCCAATTCCCTCAGGACTCTGGGGTGCATCTCATCAGGTCCCATAGACTCGTGTACATTGAGGTTCCTCAGGTGATCTTGAACCTGATCTTCCCTGACAGTGGGAGGAGCTTTACCCCCCTGGTCCCCATTGACTCATGAGGGGTGAGGAGAGAGGTTTCTGATGAAGACTGAGGCAAAGAAGCTGTTGAGTACCTCAGCCTTCTCCTCATCTGTTGATACGAGGTTGGCATTCTTGTTCATCGGGGGGGTACGCTTTCTTTAACCTTCTTTTTCTGGTTGACATACCTGTAGAAGCCCTTCTTGTTATTCTTTACACCCCTTGCCAAATTCAGCTCCATCCTTGCCTTGGCTTTCCTGACCCCATCCCTACACAACTGGGCAACTTCCCTGTACTCTTCCCAGGATACCTGTCCCTGCTTCCACTGCCTGTGCAGTTCCCTCTTGCTCTTTAGTTTGACCAGCAGGTCTTGACTCAGTTATGCTGGTCTCTTCCCTTCTTTGCCTGATTTCTTACATCTGGGGACTTGTGTCCCCACACAAGAGACACACTTGTGTCCCTCTCCACAGAGAGCTCTTGTGCTCTCTGGAAGGTGTCCTTAAAGATCTGCCAGTTCTGTTTCGTTCCCCCGTCCCTGAGGACCATTTCCCAGGGGGTCCTTCTGACTAACTCTTTGAAGAGCTGGAAGGTTTCTTTTCTGTAATTTAGGGTCCTGACTATACTCCTTGCTTTTCCCATATCCCTCAGCAGTGTGAACTCCACCAATGCATGATCACTGCAGCCCAGGCTGCCTCCAGTCCTGACGGCACCGATAAGCTCACTTGCTTTGGTGACTATCAGGTCCATTATTTCATCCCCTCGGGTAGGGGTGTCTATTACCTGGCTTAGGAAGTCATCCTCAATGCATTCTAGGAATCTCCTGGATTGCCTACAGCTCTCCATGTTGCTTTTCCAGCAAATGTCGGTGTGGTTGAAGTCCCCCAGCAGGACGAGATTCTGCAAGTGTGAAACCTCCTGGAACTGGAGGAAGAAGGTTTCATCAGTAGGCTCCCCTTGATCAGGTGGCCTGTAGTAGACACCAAGCACAAGGTTCCCTTTGTTGCCTCTGTCTCTGATTCTTACCCATAAGCTTTCAACCTGCTCATGGCTATTCTTCAGGGACAGCTCTTCACATGGTATCAATTTCTTTATGTAGAGGGCAACGCCTACACTCCTCCTTCCTCACCTGTCCCTTCTGAACAGCCTGTAGCCATCGATAGCCACATTCCAGTCATGGGATTCGTCCTACCAGGTTTCAGTTATGGCAATCAGGTCATAGCTTTCTAGTAGCACAGCAGCTTCCAACTCCTCCTGTTTGTTTCCCATGCTGTGAGCATTTGTGTAGAGGCATTTCATCTGGGCTGTTGGCTGTGTCACCTTCTTAGTGGAACATCCTTTGTTTCCCTTGGGAAGTTTCACGGAGATTTCCTTGTTAGCTCCTTCTACCTCAGGAGCCCCCAGCTCATTTCTGCAAGACTTTGACCGTGCTGCAGTGTCCCCAGCATGCCTCTGGGCAACAGGTTGAGGGCTCATAGATCAATGTGACTGGATTATTTTTCTAATACAAAAATTCAGTACTCAAACTTCATATTAAGATATTTTTCTTTTCTTTATTTTTCCTTTTTTTTTCCTTTTTTTTTCTCTTTTTTTTTGTTTTGTCTTAAACTGTATGTGCTCTCATGGATGTTTGTATTTAAAAGCTAAAAGCACTTTGTCATTGAGTTTTAACAAATTATTCTGAAAGGATAATGCAGAATCTCTTGAACTTTAACTCTGCACTTGTTTGTATTAATAGAACATGTCATCTTGGACAGTTGATAGCAAAAGGTTGTAGAAAATGCTGATGCCGTTTTAAGTTTGAAGTGCACTTTGCTATGATTATGGCATTCAGAATCTTTTTTTTTTTCATTTGCATAGATTGAATTAGAACCTGTAAAGCTTCTGTCTACAGAGGACCACCTGGAGCACACCCTGGCTATTGAGGGAAGATTAATCCAACTTGTCTATGAACGTGTCTTTCAGAACCTAATGCAGGAGAGTAATAAGGAAGGTGATTACTGTGGTCAGCATAGAAGATGGAACAATGGGCAGCTGGAAGGGAGGAAAAAAGCAGACACCTGAGTAGAGCTCCTTGAGGTTCTGGTATCATAAAGTGTGTGCCAAATTTGTGAGGGTGTGTAAGACAGTTATTCTAATAGATTGGTATTTATTTTCAGAAATTCCAGATCTGAAAATGCAGGAATTGAAAGCCAAGCATGCATTAAATAGATGTGAAATGTGGATCTTCATGTAGGTTATATTTGTAAGGTTTAACAGTTCACACAGAACTTTGCAGTACGGTAATAAAGTCCTATGACACTAGTTGTAATGCAGGTAGAAGGATAAAACTCAGGCTTATGGCTGTGTCTGTGCAAGAAAGCACTGAGAACTGTTTATGCTGTGAGATCATTCCCAAAAACCAGGAGAAACTTCATTACATGGAGGTCAAAACAGATAAAAAAAAATTTAAACTCCTCATGACCAAATGAGAAACATTTAGCCAAGAAACAGGTTCATCTTTATTTTTGATAGTAATCCCTATTCTTAAAGACAGTTGTGTTCAAAATTTGCTGTGTTGACCTGCCAAAGAAATTATTCACAACGGTTAAGAAATATGCTGGTATTTGGAAAATCTGAGCTGTAACTTAGTGTATAAGCAACAGAAATTATGTGGTTTTACTGAGGAAAGACGAAATCTGTTGTAAATATAAATTCTAGTCTTAACAATTTAGTAAGTCTGTGTAGAACTGAAGAGGCTTGTTTGCTAAAAGCAAACAAGTTATTTGTCTTCATGGTAACTGTCTCAATAGGAGACAGCTTAATACCATGAAAGACAAATCAGAGGTTGCTGGTTTTGGTTTCCACTGCCTTGCCTGGAAACTTTCTCGAAGGATCTTATCATTGTTAGCCCTAATTCACCTCCTTAAAGACACAGAACAAGCAAAATAGGGGAAAGAGAGAAGAAAATATTGCATGTAAAGGCTGCCAGGTATAGGCATAATATAGGCATAAAAATAGGCATAAATCATATCCAGAAAATGAAGTTTGTCTTCTGAGTGGATCTTATGCAACAACTTAAGTAGCTACAAAGTGCAAGTTAGTCAAATGTGTCCACACATTTATATAATCATAAAGTTAGTTAATTATGGCAAAAGTCAAAAGTACAGTTCAGGTCAAGTAGCTTCTAGCACAGATATGCACTTTTAAAAAGACTGACATGATCTCATGCCTAAATCTGTTCTTGCCAAAGGTAACTGAAAAAACAAATATTAGAGTGAGGATGTATGGCTAAATATTTGAAAGTGGAATTGGAAATGCTCAGGTAATGGAAGGTGATTACTGATTCTGATCTGTATTTCTCTCTTTTGTGTATTCTATATTGGCTCTGGTAATGGCAAGATTTGTAACAGGTTATGAAATAATCATGTCATACTCTAACTTTAATTAGACACATTTGCACAGATGCCCGTCATGTATGGTGTTCAGAGTCTATGAAAGGCACTTGAATAAGTGATAAACTTCTCTGACAACATCTGTTAGAGGTCATGCATAGCAACCATGAATAATCACAAGCACATGCTGAGGCAGTTGGCTGCCTGCGTTCACAGCTAGCCAACTTCCGCAGTAACCGCTTCTGACACAGCTTCTTTGAAGGATATAGTGAGGGCTGGGAAGGATCACTGTGCTGTGATAGACTGCGGGCTGCACCATCCCCCACCTCTTATGTCTCTTGGAAGAACAGAGCAAATCTTGAGCCCCTTGCTTCCCTTGCAAAGGACAGAGGTCTTCTGTGTCTGTCTTCTTTTCTTCTTTTCATTGTCTCTGAAGCCAATTGCATGCTTCAGTAATTGGGATATTTTCTTCTTGGCTATCAGAGGTACTAGCTGAAATAATTCATTAATACGTTGCTGCCATATTTCAGACACTTCTGAAGAGGAAGACACAGTTTCAACTGACCTTACTCATGTACAGAGTATTGAGCTTGTCCAGCCTCCTTATGCAAACCATCATGGAAACACTTTTCATGGCCAGATCATGGCTTGGATGGAGACAGTGGCAAGTATTTCAGTAAGGTACTTTTCTACATCATGGTCTTTGCATATGGTTCTAAATGGATGTGATTTTAATATTAAGGGTTTCACTGGGATTTATTTTATGAAAAATACAGACCCAAACCTTTGTGACTTTTCTTCCTCCTCAGATTGCAGGAGGCCTTTGAACTATTTATGTGGTACATTTCCCACAGCATGCCACACCACTGTGGGAGTCAAATATTATTATTCTTCTGTTACACATGCAGACCCTAAGGCAAAAGAGGCTATGCTATACTCTTGAAACTCTCTGCAGAAAGTCAGCATTGGAAATAGGAATAGAAACCTGGCCTCCTTGCAGTTGGTGTGGTGTTTTAAAAGCAGAGTTAGTCATTAAGTCAGGATAAAACTGATACTGACCCTGTATCAAATGCTATCCAAGAATGAACAGCCTTCTAAATGTTAGTCTGCAGATCGTTATGTCAGAAGACAGAATAAGTCAGAGAAGAAGAATCAAAAGAAACAGGTTCTGTTTTGCTGGAGTGCACACAGAATGGATGCACAACATTCAGCAAATCACTTAGCCTTTCAGTGTCTCTTGAGTTCCACATCCTATAGGTTGTAATATTTTTAGCAAAGGGCTCTGACATCTTCAGGTAGTAAGTGTGAAGTATTTTTGTGACACTGCCTAGTATTGCTTGTTAGTGTGGCCTAGCCATATAACAATTTAATTTCTCTTCCCCTGAAATCAAACCATTGTTTTTCTCCCTCCTTGTTCTTGGACTCTATACAAAGCTTCTTTGTAAGCAACATTTGAGTTTCAGTTTGAATTCTCCTTGCATACCAAGTGACCCAATTCATTGCAGGGATGTTAGATATGTTTTCGCTTTTTACTTTAATAATTAAATTACTTCCCCATTCATTATTCATATAGTTTTGATTCATAGCCAGTAGTTGTACTGATAACAACAGATTTTCTGTAGTGGTTGGATAAACAGCTTGCTTTAGTAACATTAGAATGCACTGACCTTACTGCAGTGTGTAATTTCATTGGCTTCAAAGGGATTGGTTCAGATTTTTACCATAATATGACCCGAAATATTTACCTGTTTTCATTTGATAAATTTTACCTAGTAAGAGTCACATTTAGGTTTAAAAAGAAAAGGAAAGCATCAGTAAATGAAGTAGTGAAAAAAAATCTTTGAAATAATGAATGTCAAACATTATTTGTCATGTTGAAAATTTCAGCTGGTGACAGAGGCTTGTTGAAAACAGACATTTTGTAGTTGATGCTTGAGAAATAGCTAGTCTCACTACAAACCTTTTGTGAGGCTACTCACAATTAGGCCTGACCTTTGAAGGTGCCAGTTGAGAGTTGTTATGGCCACAGACTCTGATGGAAGAATGGAAGAGGAGGGCTAACCCTTGAAAGATAAACTTCAAGGGTATTTTAAAGGCTACTCACCCTCCTTCTCATCTCTCTCCACCCCTTTCCACTGTTTTGGCTGGACAGTAAATGAAAATCTTGGAGATAGCAATAGCGCCATTTGAATATTAGTAATATTAGTTTGAACCGGATCTGTACATTCCTATTTCCTACACTTGCCGTAAAAGCATTCAGGGCATAGTTTTCCAGAAAAATGGAATATTTAGGCCAAATTTCTGTTCTGTTCTTCTCTTATTTTCAATAATACTGTGTTTGCATCTTTATAGTGAACATTGTAAATAAGATCACCATTTAGCACTTTAAATCAGAAGAGCAGTTTATTCTTAATGACATTACAAAGTCATTTGAATGTATTAGTCTATTAAAAAGAGGTACCAGTCAATTAATTAGCTACAGATAATTGTGTGCATTTAACAATACCGGTACATTAGTTTGCAGAGTGCAGTTGAGTTAAAAGCTAGGAATGCTACAAAGTCGTGTTTTCCAGTTTGAAAACTGCACAATGAAAAATCTATTCTCAGACATTCATATGGGATTCTTATTGAGGAGTTTTACACACATCCATGAGGGTAGAGTGTGTTTTTTCAAAATGTAAAAATAAATGTCATTATTGTATATTGTCTCCTATTCATGTGATGCATAAAGATCCCAGTAAAGAGTGGGGCTTTGACTACATTTAGAACTGATGGAGAAACCTAATTTTTGCCCAACATGGAGAGTTTGCAAAATAGATCCCAATTCAAAAAACCCTTAAGCTGTATCTGTACTGCAGATTTTTTTCTGGAATGTCTGTGAAGGTCACAGAACCAATGAGTTATTGGAATTCCCTAGTGTAGATGACACAGTATTGCAAAACTTTTCCTTTAGCAGTGTAGCTGGGTTTGATCAGGTGTGTATCTGTTTGTCCACTGTACCGGTCCAAAGATCAGGTTTGCTAGTACACTCACGGAAAGGGTACGCACCTGGCACAGACAATCTTCTGTACTAGACCAGCGAAGTTTTACCAGAGTAGCTACAGCCTATTTCACAAGCAGTTCAAAGAGACCTAGCAGGACAACCCAGCTGAACCTAACTACACGTAATTGAACACAGTACAGGGTCAGGTCTGAAATAAGAAAAGACAGGGGACTGGATGCACTGTGTAATTGGAAGAACAAAGGGAACAGAATTACTAAGATTTGTGTGTTTGTAATACACTATTGTGCACTCAGCTTTTGAATCTAACCAACTGTTCTGTGTTTCTGAATTGATAAGTGATCAGTTCAACATCTTTCTATCCCTTTGTATGTGCAAAGATGAGTTTCCCAGCTCAGCACCAGAGGCAAACTGCACTTAATTTAGTAAACTAGACCAAATTAAAAAAAACCCAAAGCCAGCTATGCATTTGGCAGTTATATGAGTAGTTTTTTATTCTTATTTCATATATAACACCAGCAGAAAACATCTGACAAACAAGCAAAAAAGTACAAATATTAAAAAGAATAAGTAGACTGACATTGCTTTGCTTGAACACTGTTTCTGGTGTTCAGCGTTTCTGCTCAGGTTTCTTTTAATTGTTTAAAGGCTTTATGATCTGGCATTTTTACGTTCTGAGCAATATCCTACTCCCCATGCAGTCATATAGAAATTAATGAAACTCTGAGAAGTAAGTGGTTACTCTGTAGGTAAGGGATTCATGGTCTGGCTCCAAAAGAAGGTAATGTCAAGCAGTGAGAATTAATTAGTCAGTGTTTGTAAAGTGTGTTGAAAATGAAATAGTGTGACATAAGTGGTATTATTGTGTTTGAAGCTCAAATTATATGCTCTTGGAGCTGAACATGTTAACTGTATTTCAATGGGTTATGGAATAAATTAGGGTAATATAGTGATCTTCTAGGTTGTGCAAACCTTGTTGCTCTAATCACTACCCACTCCAAACCTAACGAAGGAGGTTCTTTAATATGACTGTACGTTTTGCTCTCTGTTTCTCTTGCTTTCTTTTTCAGCCACCTTTGTCATTCATATCCTGTCTTGAAATAGGTGAATACGTTTAAATTCTGGGGACCGTCCGTCGTGGGTGACCACCTTGTCTTCAATGCAATTGTGAACAATACATTTCAGAATAGGGAAAGTTCCTCATCTGCTTGTCTTCCTTGGTCCTCCAGCACCAGCCTAAGGGCATGTTTCAGGTTTCAGCTATCAGCAGGATTTGCATTTTTAATTGAATTCTTTTTCAGCTGGACCTTTAAGGGATATGTCTAAATCTATATCTGTCTGTCTGTATGTGCTTTGATTTTTACTTTTCTCAGTGAAAGTTTTTAAAAATTTATTCTCTGACTTTCACTTCCAGTTTAAAGACCATTTGTAACCAAATCCCAATCCTGCAAACTCAGACCATAAATATCACTCTGAAATTCAGGGATTTTCAAGGGATGAGTTGGTCCCACAGCTTTAGTTCTTCAGAAGACTCCAGCTTGTTGCCAGGATCTTCCTGTCTTGGCATCTGTTGACAGATCTGGGTTCTATTTATTGCTGGTTACTGGCAAAATTCATGCTTTGTTTATTTCTTCCCAGTGTTAGTTTGGGTGCATGCAGAGGTGAGGCTTTGCCAGTTGCAGGTTGGAATAAATGGCTACAGCCCATGCTTAAATTTTATCTTTAGTTGAGTATATGGTCACTGTAAGTGTCATAGATTTTGACACTCTGAATGCCTGCTCGTGGAGTTTAGTGGTGTGGCTGTTGATCAGTCTTGCACAGATCTTGCCTGCTAGTGGTTACTCTCTTTCTCTTTCCTACACATGCTTTGTCTCCTCTGCAGTTTCAGGGCTGCTGTTGTGTTTGCCTCACAGAGAATGACTCTCCTCTGACCTTTGGCAAGGGGATAGCACCTCTCTGCTATTTCCCCATCTACAGGAATGGTGCTTTGGGCCACAGACCCTCTGGTTATGCCAGGGGTGTGACACAACTTGTGTGGAGCCCTGTTCCAGCAGGAGGACATGTTCAGAAGTTGCAAGAGGTGTAGCAAGACAAGCCACAGAAAGGCAGAAGCTAAATTAATTCCTCCTCCAAATTCTGTACATGGGACAAATGTTAACCTGGCATTGCTGTTCTATGGCTGTTTTCTTTGTAGGTGTATTTGGTCCCCACAGAATGCTAGCAGGGCATGAATTACCTTCATACTATGCTTCTGCTGAATGTCAAATCAATATAATCCTGTTCACTTTTGCTGTCTGTTCTCACAGTATGCTTACTGGTGTTCATATTTTGCTACTTAGTTCAATTTTCACTCTTTTTTTTAGTGCTATTTAGCTAGTCCCACCTTTTATTTTATTTCCAAAATGTGTCTGTCCAGACTGAGTAATTTATTTTGTATGCTACAGAAGGTATTTGAGTCAGGCTTCCTGCACACAGGAAGGTGTACAACAGCCCTTTTTAGTATGTCTCAGGGCTGCTTCTGCATCACTTGTGGTAGCTGAATAATTAATTTAAACTTTTATTTCAGTGTGGAGGTGGGTGTCCATGTTGAGACTTTTAACTGTGAACAATGGATCAAGGACCAAGCACAACATATTAACAGTACATTTCTCATATTTAACACTGTAAATGACAAAGGAGAGAGGCTCACCTTCCCCAGAATCAAACCTACTACAAAGGTCAGCTCTCATCCTCAGGAGTAGGATGAATGCATACATGAGATTATGTCGTCCAAACCCAGCACACTGCATGTCACACAGTCAGCCACTATAACCTTGCTGGGAAAGCAAGGTCTAAACAGGGCACTAAAATGCATCTTCTTGTGGAAGAGAAAACCTCTAAATGAAATGTTTGCATTTGAGAGATTTGTCATTAACTTCAGTCATCCAAAACTGAGAGATGTAGTGGAGGGTAGTCATTAGAAATTCTGTAGTTAGTTGATGGACAGGGAAGAAGAATCTGATTTTTTGAAGATTTTTGCACCTGTCTATATCTGTCTTGTGCAGCTGCCACTGACTGTAGATGAAACTCCTAAGTGTCCAGTGAATAAAGTTATTTTTATAAACCCATAATGAAGATGAGAAATAGAGTTAATAAAGAAGTCTGTAGGAATCTAATCACATGACATGGGTGGGCTTTCCTGTTCCTTTGACATGGAGATCTAGCATATCTTTCCCTGAAAGTGGTTCATGAAGCACTAGGAGCACTTTGAATACCATTGTTGAATTATTTGCTGTGATGTCACCTGGCATTAACCTTACTGCTCCATTTATGATATTTTTAGAGAGCCAGCATGGACAGAAATGAAACAATTATTTAACATCAGTGAACTTACATCTATAGGATGGTAACTGGACAAATAAACCAAGGTGTCCTATGTACTAGCTGAGGCAGTAAGGTTCACTACTGCCCATTACAGGCTGTTCCAAGAGGAAAAACTGACTCTTCCTCTTAAAAAAAAAAAAAGAAAAAACCCAAACCTTAGCTTCTGTCAGAGAAACAGTGCTTCCCTTTAAGGCTTGCCTAGAGGGGCATCCACAAGGTAAGTGTCAAGATAAGAACATGTATGCTCATTTGTTCAGAGTAAAGCAAACAAATCTGGGAAAATTAGTATGTGCTCAAGACAGCTTAAACTTTCAGTGATCACTTGACTGAAAGTGACAGCCAGTATGGCAGCACTCTACAAAAAGAGATGTCTTAAAAAAATATTATTTAGTCCTTGGTTTAAAGAAAGCTGAGATCTACTAATCTGGAGATTCTTCTTATTCCAGAAGCTACATGTCAGGTCTTAAAAGCTGAGGAAAAGAAGCTTTTCCAAAGTGGTATATCCTTCAAGATAACAAGTCCTATTGATCTTTAATGCAGTTTGGTGTGGTATATGCTCTTGGCTCACTTCTGTGCTTCAAAAAAAGTCCACCCTGGCAGAGTAGTAATAAGGGAAAGGAAAGACCTGCCACCTTGAAGGGCAGATCACATCTGTTTGCGCAGTGCTTGCTCTGTGTCCCAGATCTGTGCGCACTAAAATAGGAATTCTTCCATGCTTAACTTGTGCTTTGAACATCAGATGATGATGAATTGGATTAATAGTTTGTTTGGTGGGTGGCACATTTAGAAAGAGCAGGATGTGTGTGGTGCTCTGCCCAGTGGCCACTGGTTTAGGACCAAAAAGTGCTAGGAGTATGCTACTGTGATACAACTTTTTTTATGAGATTTTTTTTTGCAAATTCAGGTGAATATTGTCAAGTCAAAAGTAAACCACTGACTCAGGTTGACCTGGGGAAAAGCCAAGGTACAGAGTACAATTCTTTATTTATTTGTAATACATCTCTGGCATTTGTCCATCTGTAGAGAAATAATTTTTAGTTGTATTTTTTTAGACTGTGTCCTAAAATAATCAGATGTGTTATTGTCTGGTTTACTTTTTATAAAGGATGGTATGAGGTGATACCATGGAGCTATTGCGTGAAGGAGACGTCGACTAGCAAGGTAAAGATGAGTTACAAGGAGAACTTGATTTTGAAAACTTAATTTTTTAATGTATCCTCTAAAAATGTGATCATTTGTTAAGTAGTCAAAGTCTGCTCAAACATAACTGTTACGTTGTTTAACTTTCCAAATAATTTTGCCTGAGTTGCACTGAAATTATTAAAGGCTACTTGTCTCAAAAATACTGTGCTCTATAGGTTATTTTGTTTCCCCGTCTTTCTTGGGAAGAAAAAGGAGTTATTGCAAACCTGTCTTGCAACTGAAAATTGATAAAATACCTGTAAAGTATTTAGAAGACAATTAAGCCTATAGAACTGATTGTTTCTAGCCTATATAGAGGTTATAAAGAACCAATTCATGCTATTATTTTTCTTTTGAATTTTGTTTTAGAAAATGCATGCTGTCTGCTAAAGAAGACAAACCTTCTGATCCCTGGGAGAGAAGCAACCAGGTAATCTGTAGATCGTGTCCTATTGCCTACTTGGATAAAATAGTGTATTTGTACACTTTTTGGGTGTGTAAAACAGTTGTACAGGCCATATCAGTTTCCAAAGTGGACCTTCTGTACTGAAGCATTGTGATAGTCATGGAAGAATGGATAAATGTGTAGTAAGATGAACGGCTTTTTTGTTCTGAAAAAAGAGAGTAGATGCTTCACTATTGATTAAGAGTAAGTTTCATACTCTCGTGGTTTAACCCCAGCCAGCAACTAAGCACCACGCAGACGCTTGCTCACTCCCCTTTGCCCTGGTGGGATGGGGAGAGAATAGGAGGAATAAGAGTGAGAAAACTCCTGCGTTGAGATAAGAACAGTGTAATAATTGAAATAAAGTAAAATAGTAATGATAATAGTAACAATATAATAATAACTGTAATAATAATATACAAAGCAAGTGATGCACAATGCAATTGCTCACCACCCGCCGACCGATACCCAGACAGTTCCCAAGCAGCCATCGCTGCTCCCTGGCCAGCCCCCCCCAGTTTCTATACTAAGCATGACACCATATGGTATGGAATAGCCCTTTGGGCAGTTTGCATCAACTCTTCTGGCTGTGCCCTGTCCCAGCTTCTTGTGCACCTGGCAGAGCATGGGAAGCTGAACAGTCCTTGACTAGCATAAGCAGTACTTAGCAACAACTAAACCATCAGTGTGTTATCAGCATTCTTCTCATCCTAAATCCAAAGCACAGCACTATGCCTGCTACTAGGAAGAAAATTAACTCTATCCCAGCTGAAACCAGGACACATACAAAACATAAAAAATGTCTTTAGGATAGACTTTTTTATCAAGAAGTTCCCTAAGCAGCCACCCTGTAAGGTCTCCTGCAGATTTATGTCCCAGTGTCCCCAGCTTTTAAAAAGCTGGATTCTCCTGTAGAGGAATTTGTTGTTGGGTTTTGTTTTTTTTTTTTTTTTCCTTTATCCAGCCACTGATTTTCTTAAAAATTGCTGTGAGGAGACCATTTAGTAAACACTAGAAATTCAGGGAGGGACATGGCAATACCAACAGACAGATGAACAGTGAAATAGCTTAAACATTGTTTCTATGGGACAGAGAGGTGAAAACAGATGTTAATTCCTAGATACTCTGCATCAGGTAGTACGTGTTTCTGGCTTGAAAATGCTAGGCCACAGAATGTTCCTGTGCCATGAAATTAATAGTGATGAGCCTGAATTTAGGTGGATTTATAGACACCCTAAACGTTGTTTCAGTGTCAAATTTTTGTGGTTAAATTTTCATTGTATTTAAGATCTCAGTAGCTCCCAAAAATTTTACTGGGTCTTTTTCCATTATATGAAAAAACAAGTAATTGAGAATTATAATGCAGGAAGTGATTTGCTGTTAACAGTGGCATCACCACTGTTTGAAGCAGCATTTCGTTTCTGTGAAACAATAAATATACATAGGCATACAATGATAAAAGTGGCTTACTTAAGATGTATTTAATATGAAATTAAAACCTGTAATTAAAGACTCTAAAGCTGTATTCTCTTTATACAGTGGTTAAATGAGAACTCCATCCACTGTAGTCAAGCATAAATAATGGATATATTTGCACTTTCTCTGCTCTGTGCCTGCTGTGTAAAGCAATTGCCAAGATAGACTACAGCTTGATAGCAATGGAGAGGTTAATTTTCCAGTAGAGTTTAATTACTCAGGAGGAAGATGGACAAAACCATTAATTTAGTTGTATGAGAGGCTAGCTGTATTATCTCTCTGGTGGCCACAGTTTTTCTGCACTGCTTTATAATGGGAGAAACCCAAAGTAGTGTTTTGTTGTTATTTGATTAGTGTTGTTTTGCCAACAGCCATGTGAGCACATAATCAAGCTATTGAAAGTATTTAATTCAGAAACTACTGGACTGTGTTTTCTGGAAGGAAAACACTTATGGGAAAATACACATTTGTTTGCAATTGAGGGGTAATGACAGAAAAAGAACATCTGATTTCTGGAATGTTTATGGAAATGTATCTTTGCCCCTTCATTTTCAGAAGTGTATCTTATGTTTCAGGCATATGTGAGTTACAGCAATATAGCTGCACTGACACATCTAGCAGCAAAACCAGGATGGGAAATAACCAGTACACTTGTGTACGGAAGGGTTAAAAGATGGAATTTTGGTCCGTGGATGGATACTGGGTGAGAAGTAGATAGCTGAGCAGGAGACAGATAATTTATTGTTTGAAATGCTGATTGTGGAGTTGAGGGGGCTGAGCAATGTTAGGGAGGATCGTTTCTCAGCTTTCTTATCTCTGTGGTCAGCAGGGAGGTGCAACTGGGAAGATACAAGGCACAGCTCACAATTTTGCTTACTTTGTAAGCATCTTGTTATTGGCTTGAGCAAGGCTGATACGCAATTGCTGAATTATAGTAATATGTCGCATGAACAAAGCCCATGAACCAATAGACAGGATGACTATGTCGCGTGCAGCACACTTGACCGGTGGGCGCATGCACCATAGTCTCCCTTTGTTGCAACCGAGGCATGTTTTTGACACTCACTGGTCACGTGTGTCAAAACCTGTTTTCCTCTGCAATGTAAGTACCAGGATTTCCTGAAGAGGGGTGGGCCGGTGTACAGAGAGGTCACCATTGCCTCCATGGGGACGCCCACGTAAAGCTGGCACCTACCGACTGCTGTGCTGATCTCGCAGCGCAAGATGGCACAAGAATGTACGGATGGACCATCTTCCTCACGGTCCTCGGGTTGGTAAGAATATTGCTTTGCTAAACTCTTGTAGTGTAGTTAATAAAGCCTTTTGTGCTGCTAGATAGTCTGTGTGTGCGTGCCATTCTTTCCCTGGGAATCCTCAAAACCACTCTAAAACAACACTAGATGATATTAAGTGAATAATTGTGGAATAACTACATAGCCACTTTAGTTATGTTTCACCATAAGAGGTGGGCACGTTCTACTTTTGTAAATAAATACATTGGCTCGGCAGGGTTTGGTTTTACTGTGGCTAGGGTTGAAAACCAACACCCCCAGAGTTTCCTGGAAATGTTGCAAAGCAACCTCTGATTGTCCAGAGTGCTGTGCAACCTGGAAGTGCCATGGAGGAGTTCTAAGCCGTGAATGACTGGTGAACATAGGACTTTGGACCCCAGAAGGGCAGGCTTGCCAGCAACTGATCAGTTGGGCTGGCTGAGCAACACACAGGACAGTGTCAAAACACAAACCAACCCATATCTCATTTCTATGAGATGTTTTCTTTGCCACAACTGACATGCTTCTGTGGTTTTGCCAGATTGTTTGATTCCAGCAAAACACCAAACTTGGATATCTTTGTTTAGGCAGTGCTGTTGATGATCTGTGGGGCTTCTCATGTCACTGTGATAAGCAAAATGTGTGCAGCAATCTGTAATATACTGCCTTTACCAAGTATGCAGCATGGGAGACGTTTCTAAGTAGCAGGCACTACCTTGTGATAGTTCCAAGTGGACACTGCCAGTCGACAGGTGTCAGCAATTTATATACCACATTTTTCAGTCCCTGTCTTCTCAGAAGACCACTTGACTGTTTTTCTATGCAGGTTTTTCATTTTGGATAACTTTCTTTCTGCCCTTTTTCTATTAAAAAATTGTAAAAGCCTGAAAGCAAAGCACCTCTCGGTTTATCGATCAGTGTTATAAGCTCAAAATCAGTAAGGAATCTTGTGTAAGCCAGTTTTAAGATAGGAAGATGCTGTTAAGAAAACCAGTAGCAAAATAATTTAGCTGGGAAAACTCAGTTTTAACCTAGTCACAGTGCATGTTTTCCAAACTATCAAGAGACATCTGTTAGTTTGGTTTCTGAAAAATGGTTAGTGACTGGTAGATTACTTTAAGATCATGTAGATTCAGACATGTTTTGGGACAAGAAGGCTGTTAAAACATTTTAGTCTGACCTCCTGCATGTCACAGGCTATGAAACTTCACTTACTGATTCTTGCATCTAGTCAATAAGCTACTTGAATAAGAGCATATATAAATCATGAGGAATTGCAGTGACAGCAAATCTGCCAGTTCCATGTGTAGGTTGTTCCCGTGGTTAATAACTTTCAGTAAACCCTGTTGTGTCAATTAAATGACAGACAGCTCTCATGCTGGAAAAAGCAAGCTTGAACAATCAGACTGAAACATTGAGCATTATTTTCAAGCCTCTGAGACTGTATTATTATCAATATGAAACTTTCTTTCTGCATCCACTGGGACTGCCACAATCTCAGTTTCTAACACCCTAAATGCTTGAAACCTGTAATAGAACCAGCACCAAATGTTGTGAAGAAATTACTTCATACAAAAACCCAAACCCCATGCACATTCTATACGACATTTTAAGCAGTATGATGTTACTTCTCTCTCTCAGCAAGCCACCAGCTACATTCCAGTATTACTGGAGTCTGGAACTTTCTCCCCTTTTGTGGAGTCTTGATAGTAAGATCTGCCCCCAAGCCACTTAGGCCTTATCTGGTGGAAAATCTTGAGTAGCTTTTTCTAGCTGTTCTTTCATCTAGTTGAAATAGGTATCTGAAATCCATCAAAATCTGGCTCAGGCAGGATGAAGGATGCAGGACGCAAATCACACTGATGCTGTCAATGGATGGAGAGTAGCCATTCATTCCCATTGTTCCAGACATTTCTGCATAATCTGGCATTGTCGGTCATTAGATATTCTTTAAAGAAGTGGCAGGGATCCAGCGTAGCACACTATTTTTTTTCTAGAAGGATGTATGCAGCGAACAGTAATAGCAAACCATCATATGACTGTAGGCCACTTCGATTGTTGTATAACATTTATTCCGTAAGTAAGTCTTCTTTCTTATTTAGCATCTGCTTGCAGGCACAAGGTAGAGTGCTGACAAAGTGTGGATGTCAGCAGTAGGCAGAGGGTATACTTGTCCTCATATGTGACTGTATGCTTACCTCTAAATTAATCCACTAGGTGGATTAGATTTGCTCTTTGGCAAAGAAAATGAGAGTGAAACCAGTCTTGGACTTTACCTATACAGCTCCTCCAGTCAAATTTAGATGTGTGCTCGAGTCCCTAAATGCTGGGATAAATGCATTTCCAAGGAAGACTTTCTGCCAGCTCCAGTTAATGAAACTTACCATCTTGGCAAATGTTAGTTTGGTTCAGTTGTCACCGTTTCACACTCTTGTCACTTTTGCAAATGTGAGCACAAGGGAGTATCCCTTAAGAAACTGTATCTAGCTCAGAACATTTTTCCTTAAGCACTGCAGGCCACCTCATGCATATCATACTGGTCTTACGTTCTCTGCAGTCATGTACCAGGTCATGATCCTTGTGCTTAGGGTATACGGTGGCATAGGCACAGAACAACTACTTGGCCTTGTCTGATAGACACACATAGCAGCATCTCCACTCAAACAGATCTCTTCAGTGTCCATGAAATGGTTTCTTGGGGAGAGGCTGAAAGAACAAATAGTAGGAATCAGGTAGCAGTGCTGATCAGTGCTCTGCCTGAAGGCAGTTATACTATGGGAAAGGAGACTGTCAAAGACATTAAACTGAACTGTATTTTGGGATGAAATATTCTAGTAGGTAGATTTTGCAAAGCAGTATGTGCTTATGTATACACAGATGATTTGTTCTCTTTTCCCTGGAATTAGAATGACCCCAAGTTGATTGACAGTTTTTGAAGGTAGAAAGTGTCACTGCGAGCTCTTTGATATAGAGCCACAAGACTTGTAGGCCTGTAGAATCATAGAATCGTTTAGGTTGGAAAAGACCTTTAAGATCATCCAGTCCAACCATTAACCAAAGTAGCAACCTAGCCTTGCCAGTGGTCACTTCACAGAGAGGTGTTTTAACAGCTGTACCTCATACTTCATTTTGTGATTTTCAGGTCTAGAAGACTCCTAAGATAACATGATTTCTCTTCTATGCCTTAGAGGAATATTGATCCACGCATCCTGTAGCTGATTTCCAAAGCTCTTAGGTCTTTTGTTTTACCCCAAACTTTACTTCAGCAAGAGGCTTGCTTGAATATATTGGGTTTTTTTTCCTATTCCAAAACATGAAAATACAGAAACGTACAAAATCTGTGTTGTTGCACAAATGCTCCATAAACCAAAAGATTGTTAAGATTTGATACAGCAAAAAGAAGCAACAGAGATGATGAAGCTTATGAATGTTGTATCACTTAAAAATTAACTTAAAGTTAAAACTTTCTAGGATTTGAGAAGCCATTTAGCATATCAGATTAAAATTTGGAAATAAAGTCCACTAATTCTAAGTACTCTCTTCTACCCATCTTCTTTCGTTTTACAGGGTTTATGGAAGATGCCAAGTCCTTCTTTTGCAAGAATTGTGTGTACATTGTTATGTGCAGGTTATTCCTTTTGAATTCTCTGTGTTAGTGTTCAGGCATATGACTAGAAATAGACCCAAAACTATCAAGACCAGATACTGCAAGTCTGGGACAAGAGAGGCAGAACTATGTTTTGAAATAGTTTTTCAGTATATTATTAATTCTGGGTGCTCCACAGTAAAGAATAGGGGAGAAAAAATGTACCTTGGAAAGAGAAATGTTGAGTCATTTTAAGGGAAGGGGGCATAGGCCAATGCGTGACTGATGTGCACGGACAAAGGGAGCTGAAGTAGTTGAAGTCTACTAAGTACTAATTAAAGACAAGCTACTGGACTGCATAGGTTGGAGAGGTGGATCAAGGAGGTAATCCATAGTCATCCCTCTTAAAGCGTGGAAAGTGCGTTTGTAAAAATCTGGTCCCCTTTGGATGTCGCTGGGTAAGGTTCCCAAACCTGCAATGTGCAGGACTGCTGGATATGTTCATCCTGGTGGCAGGGAGGGCAGTTGCTTGTTCTGTCTTATTTTGCTGAAGTCAGTGTTGCCTCACACATACTGCAGGGATACTTGTCTCATCTGGTGTGGCCTCACTCCAGCTTGCTCCTGCTCACCAGTGCCACATCGAATGGATCCTACTCTTAACTTTTGAATTCCTGGAAAGATTTAAGTAACCATCACTACTGCTTCAGATAAATCTACCTTAATAAACTTTCTTCCATTCCATCCTTAAATTCATATGTTATCTTCCCTTGCTTTCCCATATTTATGCCATATTTCTGTAACTCATCCTGGTTTAAGGGCCATGTTAAAAACTGGTAGATTTCTGGACTAGTGCCTGCCCAGATTTAAAAAGTCTAATCTCTTGTCACCAATCACTGATGCCAAATTCACCAAAAGAATTGCATGAGGTCCTCAGGTTGCCCCATTAGCTTTTGGAGTCAGTGAACTGAAGCCTCAATGAGGAGACTTTCTATAGCAAGGTCAAGAAAAGGTTTTTACCTTCATTCTTAAGTGTATCTGCTGTTGTTTATCAAAGTGGTGACATCTACATGGTCCAATAACTCATTTTTTTTCCAAGGCACCTGCAGTGTGAAAGGTATTTAGAGACTGTATATACATAGTGTGAGAAAGAGGTCATACTGGCCTCTAGCTCAGTCATTTCCACTTGCAGGCTAATTCAGCTATCCCTAACCAGATGTAATTAAAACTGTGTGATGTCACTATGCTATCAGTGTCTTCGATTTCACATTGTGCTGTATTTTAATGTAAAACTAATCTTGAATACTCATCTGCATTTTATGTTAGATATAGTTTCATACCTACTTCTGAGAAAACCTGCATAAGCCCTAAATGTGTAACATGTATAAATGTTAAAATATTTATAGCAATCATTCTTTGGTTTTAAGGTTATTGACTTTTTTCAGATAAAAATACAGACTCATGAGAGGGGTGATGTCACTCAAAGTTGAAATGCAAGTGAAGATACCGTCATATCTAGCTTTCTCCCTTTTGTCTGACTTCACATTCCACCAACAATGGGAAAAACATTTCATGTAAGAACTTACCTTTCTTTAAGACTGTTCAAATCCACTGACAACTAACCTTTCCTGATACAAATATTTTTGAGATGTTGACACTTTTCTACCTAATTAAGAAGAAATGGCTGTAAGAAGCTGACATTAAAGATTCATTAGCCAAAGTATGGATTGGTTTTTTTACCTTAAAAATAAAATTTTATTTCTCCTAAGTGTGATTTAAAAATATGGTTGCCCTGGACTGTCAAAACAGAGAACTGGGACAGAGGCTACCATTTTCTAAAATGAACAAAATTCCATGCCTAGACAAATGTATGTTGAAAGGGTTAATTTGAGTAGGTTGCATATAACTTGGAAGTTGATATATTGCGCATGCTCTCTGTAAGAATTAAGGCAAAGCTGTGGACTCCTTCATGTTTGTGGTGTTTGGGACACTCATGCTGAGCTTCATCATACAAAGTGAGAAATCAGGAAATGGGAATTTTCAAAATGCCTCTTTTAAGAAAAATTCCATCTTATAAAGTGTACCTGAATTAGAATGGGTTTCAGAATTGCTTTAAAAGGTGTTTGAGGGTCTTTCATTTACCTTATATGGTGTAGAATAATGACTAGAGACAATTTAATTGATATGATACTTATTTGATTTGGTGAATATTCTCTTAAAGGAGAAGCTTTTTCAGTTAGTCATTCTGTCCTGAAAGATTTTCATCACAGGGTGAAAGTGGAAGCTTAGGGATACTTGAAAATTCACAATCTCTGCTGAATTTATGGCTTGTAACAAATGAAATCTGAAGAAATATTGTGTTGGTTTTCCGTATCTATAGCCAAAATCTGAGATTTTTTATGACTACCATGAAGCCTGATTGACTGGTTGAAATGCAATACCAGCTTAGCAGTGCTTACTGCCGAGGCAGTAGAATCTGAAATTAAATTACTGCCAGTGTAAAGGAAAATTCTTACTTTTTTTTGTAGTGAACACTCAGAGATAGTGATCAGTACTTCCAAGACAGTGAAGGAGTGTGTCCTACCCAGGTGGCCCTGTCTGAACCAAGTAGAACACAACTTTGAATAAAATTTTACAAATGTTTCCTGTGGCGTGTCAGATGGACAATGTTTGGTCATTCAGCATTGCATGCAATGTAAGCTAATGTAATTCCAAACAGGAATCAACAGTAGGCAAAAGATAGGCTCTTAAGACATTGCTCCAGCACCTTGCAGCACTTTTTAACAATTTTGTGGGACAGAGAGGTGGTGTCAGATGAAATGTTGCAGAAAACCTCAATTTTTCACTCTGTGTTTCTCTCTCCTCCTTGCTGCCTGGACATGAAAATAGTAGGCTTAATGTTAGGATGGAATATGTGTTTGTACTGTGTTTTTCTAAGACATGCTATTGCATACATCATGGTCTGCATATGTGTGCTAAATGTACTTGCAGAACTTGTGAGGTCCTACAGGCTGTGAATGAAGATGAGAAACTATATTACATCTCTACCTGTGACTGGCCATAAACCCAGAGACTTTGTGATTCTTGTATCTCAAAGGCAACCCTGTAAGCCAAGGTGAGTATGCAATTTCAAGTTTAACTGTCAGCACTTTGGAGCCACAGTTTTGATTACTGTTGACCTTTATCTGGGCCTGTCGTTGGGTGGCAAAGAAGGTATTTTATTTTTTAAGAAATTAGATTAGTAGCTGATCTAAAGTACGATACGTTGATGCCTGAGTCTGCACAACCAGATTTGTTTTGCAACATGAAGGAGTGATGAAGTAAATTCAGAGTATCACAGATTTGTAGCATAGGCTGGTATTGCATCTTTGATAGTCACTCCTCAGGAGTGGTCTATCATGAGGGGAAAAAAGGCCAGAATTCCAAACAGGCAATTTGGAAAAAAACATGTCCCAGAGGGCTTGTCAATGTGCTGAAGCACATAACTGGGTGTTTGTCTGTTTGTTTCTTTTGAGTGACTTTGTAATCCCATTTAATGTAATTGTGGAGATTTTCTTATTCAAAGAAGTGCTTGGCCTTTCTTGAAACCTCAGTGTGACACATTTATTGTATCTGTACATTTTGCTGCTGAATTTGGTTTAAAAAGTTCTTCATCAGTTTAACATACATTGATTTTTTTTTTGTTAGATTTCCTTTTGTTCTTGCATAATGAAACACAGATAAATGGGACCATTTGGTGTTATCTTACTGTTCTTTATTCTCAGTTTTGCTTCTTATATTCAGTAATTCTTCATGTTAACAGAACATTGCAGTATTCTGTACTGTGCTTGCTTTTTTTCCCCCACATCTGGGAATTGAATCATCTCTACCTTTGCTGGGGCCACACGGTAAAGCCTCCTATTAAGGGTTGCTCCTAGACCCCAGTTTTGTAAACATGGGTCATGGAGAGCAGGATAAATAAAAAAAGAGGAGGTGGTGTATGTGGGTGATTGTTCTGTGGCTTTCCACAAGAAGTCTCCTTGACTGGAGTCTGTGATAAAGCCTTAATGAGACTCAAGAGAGCTGAATCTTTTAACATGTATCTTTAAACATACAGGAGCTTGTCTGCCTTCACATGAAAATGACATCTTTGGTATAGCTGTGCATAGTCTGTAGTCATTTACATGTATTTTTTTTAACGTCTTGTTGAAAAAATGTTTGATTCTTCCCCTTGCCCTGCAGTGAACCCTACATAGTAGCTGTAAAGTCAGTTACCCTCATGTCTATGCCACCTTCTCCAGAACACTGCAGAAGTGAAATCCATTATGCTGGATTCCCGATCTACAGTGACAGCAACAGCTCCTGTACGGTGAGTAGCTCTGCTGACCTCAGCTGTATCTCCTTTCCTGTAGTATTACATGTGCATATAATCTCATGAGCTGACAGTCTAGGACAATAATGGCAATACAATGAAAAAAATGAATCCGTTTCCCCAGTGTGGTTATTAAGACATTCTTCATTCCACAAAGTGGAATCTGTCTTGCCCAACTTGGCCAATCTGAATGTGTTGGGAAAGAAATCTAAACTAAGCACTGGAGATGGCTAGGCACCTCCAGAGTCATTCGTTCAAGCCTAAAACACACTTCTGGAAGGTGTGCATTAAATTGGTCTCTGGTGGAGTCCATCTCTTTTCACTGACTACAGAGGAAGTCCGAGGAATAAGTTCAGATTAAATGCTTAACTTTAACTTTCATATGTCAGAAATCATGCAGTCTGAATCCCATCTCTGGACCAATGACAATGTTCCTCTTTTGTTCTTTTCCAGGGGAAGGCTACAACTTTTTCATTTAAGAAAACTTATTTCTGAAAACATTCAGCAACTCAGTGGCTGGGGTTCTTTTTTCAGGCAACAGCTTTGTTCATAAAGCACATATATTTAACAGGTTACACATAATGTTTCTTGCTGCACTGCTGTGTACATTCATCTACAGGCTTGAGGACCTGTCAGTAGCAGGGACACTGAGATCACTACAGTACCGTAAAAAAGGCATGCTCTTTTTGCTAATTATTACCTTCAGTTTCAGAAGCACTGTGTTTCTATTCCCATCCATAAAAACTTTGACACTCATCCAGGCTCTGCAAAAAATGGCTAACTATTGCAATCCATAGGCTTTGTTTCATTTATTTTTGTTTAAACAGGTGTATTACTTCAATCAGGTGACATCAGGTGTTATGCTGTACTTAGCTGCAAATCTTACTGGCTCATCAAAATCCATTGAAGGCACTGCTTTGGAATGTATAAAGTTCTTGGAGCTGAAAGGCAGCCAGTAGTGAAGTTAAAAACGGATTTCTGAAGAGACCTCTGAAGATTATCAAGCAGTACTGGTTTAAATTCCTGCATGTGTGTTGATCATTTTTGTACAGGTTAGTTACTTTGGATCATGTAGCCAATATTGGGCTTGATCCCGAGAAGCATTTTCTATCAAATTAAGATTAGGCCTTAGGCTCTAAATTAAATTTTTAATTTTAAAAAGATTAAAGGACAGATTCCACTCTTGATTGCAATAATGGATTTTACATAAATGGAGGCAGAACTTGGCCCAGTATAACGGCAGCTCATGAGACAATCTCACTATTTTAATGTTATATTGAACATAATGGCATCTAGCCAGTTCTAAATCAGTGAATACCACCCTGTCTAATTTGCAGACTAGTGATGCTTCCAAGCTGCTTATCCAGTGCTCTCACCTGGTTGCCCAGGTTCTTGCACACCCATTATATATAGATTACACCCTATGTAAGTTTATGTTTGCTAATGTTTGTACTTCATCTGTTAATACTTGTAGTTTTTCTGTGACTTCCAATAAATTATTGTTTCTGAGATTACAAATCCATGGTAAATTTTGCTACGGTATCTCTGGAACAGCTTCAGACATCGTTCCAGAACAACTGCTTTGTAGTGATGGCGGGGGGCTGCTGGCCTCTTACAGAAGTGCCATGACCTCCAGCTGGCAAGCTCTGTGCAAGACTGTTCTGGAAGTGCCAAACAAATGCAGAACAATAAGACTCTTGGATCCACTCCCTCACAGATGAAAAGGGAGAATGGTTTCAGAGGTTTTTTTGTGGCGTGTCTACTTTGTTTTCTGCTCTTATTTTTGCTCAAAAGAGCCTTGTTCAAAAAAACTAGTATAATCATCAGCAGCCAGATCGTAACATGAATGTGGGGGCGTTAAGAGAATCAAAGCATGCGAACTGTAGCAGTGCCCTTTTGTCTTACTGTTGTCTCGTAATTGGTAGAGCGTGAGCTCTAGGGGTCTGGTCCAGTTCCCACTTAAGTAAATACATCTTCAATTTAACCTATAACCAAATCAAAGCTTTCATCAGTGATTTACAGATTACAGCATGCCTGCATATTTTGCATATGTACAGCAGAGAGACACCAACTGGAGTTCTGGGGGCCCTCCGGGTACACTAGCACCGTGAGTCAGCCAGCCTCTCAGCAAGAATAGTTTAGCTTGGGTACAGCCTTGAACCAAAGCATAAGTGAAATCAGCCGCTCTCTTCTACATCTAGCAAAGGCTGGCCACTGTATGCCATATAACACAGGGATACCTTTGCGCTAGTAATGAAAAAAGTAAAGTGGGTCCTGGTCTTTGGCTCTGGAGGAGAGACTATAGATCCAGATCCTGATTTTGGATCGTCATTTTTATCATGTGGGTAAGGTGCAATACCACAGCCTAATGAGCGAGGGCAGCCGCAGGGCAAGCCCCTCCAGAGCATGAAGACCACCAAGGCCCTGCTCGCCTCCTCCTGGGCTGGCTGATAATGGAAGGGTCCAGGCCCGCTCCGTGGACCAGCTCTACTCCGACTCCTGCCCACACTTGCTGTGTGCAGATGGCGGCAGACAAACTCTTGAGTGGGCAGCCAAGTCTGAGGTCCCAATTTTTAGTGAACAGAGACACCTAATGTTCAGCTCTGAACACACACGACACATCAGGGAGAAAAAGCCCGAATACTGCCTGCACCAAGCATTTCCCATCAGCTATTTGGGTGGCTTCCTATGCAGCAGTTTGTAACTTGCCTTTAGAGACACTTACACACTAAACTCAGCTGTGGGGCTACTGCAGGGGCTATCTGGAGAACACTATTTGGCATTTTTTAAATGTTAGCATTCTGCCGAGCTCATACCTACATGAGGTTCTGCCCCCAACACCAAGACCTTGGCTACTGTAGTGCAAAGCTGGGCCACGACCCAGATGCAGCCACCACACATCTTCAGGAGTACAGGGGGAGAGCATCTTTTTGACACAGGGTTGTATTTTACCAACCTCTGTGCAACTTCTAAGACAAGGAAATTGATGTTTCTGGTGCACAAACTTTGCTTAAACTCTAGTTACTTGCCTAACTTTTACATTTTTTTGTGGGTACAATGCATCTTTACATGCAGCACCTTTTACAGCTGCTTTTCAAATAGCTCTCTTCAATTACATATACCTCCAGGAAATCTTCTAAAAAGAGATTAGTGGGTGCATTTTGCATGTAGTTTTGTCCAATAGTCACTGAAGATTGTGAACCTGTGCAGCTGTTTTAGACAGTGTAGTGCGTTTCAGCGCCTCATTTTCCTCAGCAGTCACTGAAGCAGAGGACAAGAGGGAGGTGTACATGCTTCCAGCCCCATGCAAGCACATGTACGATTACCTGAAAACAGCTGTTGTCTTTACTGAAATTCTCACAGAGACCATACCCTGTGATTGTCTTAGTCTGAAGAAGCGCATTATTTCTTCCCAGAGGACAACAGAGCAGTAGTCAGGTGTAGGAGCCTAACAAGTGTTTGTACGGTGCAAGGTGGATCAACAGGTATGAGACTGAAGGTTGTCTTACCCAGTGGTGGTTGCTGGGCTCACTGACCTCCAGGGGAGCACTAGAAGGAGTGTATCACTGCACTGAAGAGCAGGCTGGGCTCAGAAGGCAGGAAAGCTGGATACTAGCATGCCCTGCTTGTGCTCCACCATTTTGAGAACAAAGGTTAATCCACTGCTTCTTGTGGCATTTCTTTTGACACAACTGCCCCCTCAGTCACCCTGTTTCTAGCAGTCCCTCTCGCCAAGCAGACATGACAGTGATTGACTGTGGGAAAGGAACAGTGAATTTTCTTTTCCTCCAACTTACACATTGTACACCACATAACTTGGCAATCTGTTAAGGGGCACTTCTGCCTCAGCCTGCAGTAGCACAACTGGGTGCCGACATCTTACTAGAACCACAGACCCGCAGCAGCCATTTCCTCCGTAGGAGAGGCTGCGCTCTGAAACCACAACTTGTGCACCACACTGTCTACACCAAGCCCTTATTATCTGGGAAGTACCAGTACCACTAGTAAAGCCAAGGTGCACGCCTTCAAGTTCCTATGGGTAAAAGAACACATTACAATCTCAAGGAGCTTTTAAAGACAGGAAATTATATAAAAAGATGTTCTTTAAACAACATACTTATTCATATAATGGAAAGGGAAACACTTTTTAAGCTGGGATGAACGTCTGTTGCAAAATGTCCACATTAAAGTGATGATGCTTTGAGCTGTAATCCAATAGTTAATCAAAACCCTGTAATTAATCCTCGATTTCATCCACATCCACTCTTCTTCCCCATTTAAATTTGTGCTCTGATTATTATAAACTGAACGTACATGCCCTATCTTAGTCATTTAAAAGAGCCTTTGTATCCAGAGCAGAACCAGGAAACCTAACGTAAGAGCTCTATTGTATTCTTTAGCAGTTTATTAAAAATAATTAACACGTACAAATATAAAATATATCCATGCCATTAAATTCCTGCATTTGTCTTCTGCTGTAAGGAAAGTATGTTCCAAACTCACAGTTGCAGCAGCTGGTCCCAAGCACCTCAAAACGCAGTCCTGAGCTCAAGTTTGCTGTCTCGTGTTCCTTCCCTGTTCTCACCGAGGCAAGGTACTGACCATTAGGACACTTCTATTCAAAGGGGAAGATAATCTTTAGAAGCAATAGTTTTACCACGGCATAGCTTCTCCTCAAGAACTGTTGTTTATTACTGTATAACACAAGCTGAAGTTTTTAGAAGGCACATTGAAGATTTTTGGGACACTGAAGTACCCTACTTGTCTGACGGCAACCACGACTGCAGCAGAGGCCTGCGAAGCCCAGCGTGGCAGGTGCGCGGGCGCCTGCCCACAGCCGCATCGGGATGCTGGTTCAGAACGAAGCACCACGTGCGAGATGACCGTGAGGTGCACTCCTGCAGTAACACTGCGCTTCCTTGCTCATCTTGGGCAAGATGATCAGGCACAAGTGAAAGCCTACCGGCACTGGCTGCGCAGGCTGAATTACTACAGTATTGGGACAGCTGTTGCAGGAACTCTGTTTTCAGTTGGTTTCGTAACTTTTCTTAATACGTATCAGTTTTTCTAAGACTGCAGTTTTTCAGGCTGCAGTCTCCATTTAAAGATAAATAAATCTGCCATTAAGCAGTTTTTGTGTAACACAAAGCAAAGTTTACTCCCAGCTCACCAAGAGGTAGAAACACTGAAGATTTTTGAACACTTTCCTTGAAAAAAGTGAAGAAACTAAGCAAGCTGCTCACTTTGCTCTCCAATCTTTTCAGGTATATTTCACCACGGATATCAGAGGAAGGGCATGATTCTGTTTCTATTAGTGAAGAAACACAATCCAACATGCACAATCAGGTTAATGTATGTACATATTTAGCTGAGTAGCAGTTAATTGCACCCCCAAGCTCTACAGGCTGTAGGGTTTACCCAATAACTTCACTACAAGCTTGCACATACGGAGCAAGAAATCATTCTTTCTAAAAGGAGAAGGCAAAAGCAAACCAGAACCCAACAAGAGGCTTTAGAAAATACCCACAATAACTGTCAGAGAGATGTAGAAATACTCCTAAGAAGACCAGCATGACTGTGTTATTCTCTGGTAAGCAGAAGCAGCACTCTTAAGGCATCACGACATTACAGTTGAGAGTGAACATATACCCCATGAGAGAATTTTTAGCAAGGGGTAGACAAGAAACCCACATTAAATTGTGCCAACACTGACGTGAGGAAAATGAGACCTGCTTGCATGTTATTGGGTACTGTCCAGCAGTACAAGATACAAGGATTAAAAGACAGAATTATGTGAATTACTGGCAAATGAGGTGAAAAAGAAGGACTGGGTAGTATTCCAGGAGCCGCTGCTGAAAGACAAACAGAATGAATCATACAAGCCGGACCTGGTGTTTGGTAAAGGAGACCAGACCATAGTGGTTGACATCACAGTCAGATATGAAAGTAAATCAACATCTCTGGCAGATGCATCGGTGGAAAAAGTTAAGAAATGTCAACATCTGAAAGAGCAGATACAAAACTTATGAATACCAGCAATATCAAATTTATGGGATTTCTGCTCGGAGCATGGGGGAAATGGTACAAAGGCAACTGCAAGCTACTGAAAGAATTTGGACTCTCCAGTTCCCGACAGGAAAAGGTTGCTCGTCGTTTACTGAATCGAGCACTATTTTCATCTGTGGACATTGTGCACATTTGCAAGCTGGTCTTGGACTGTTATAAGATCTTAGTGTATTAATGAATTGTAATCGGTTTAATTGACTGTAAATAAATTGACTTTTCTTTTCATCTATCTAAGGTGGGAACCGGACCCCACTGGAGAGTGCCAAGGGTGATAAAAGCTTAGGCAAAAGGCCGATTTTTCAATAGGGTATGACAGTATGTAGGAACAAATGGGCTCAGTAATCATGACATTTCATCCAAATTCCTGCCAAAGACATAAAACCACTGGTCTTTACCAACGTGGACAGGTCACCTTTGCTTATCCCAGAAAAGGAACATGTAGAACATACTGACCCCTGAAATCCCATGGTCACAGACCCCCGTGATAAAATGCACATACCCTGTTTGGTTACTGCAACCAGATCCCTGTAGAAGCAGCCAATTTCCCTCATCAGAGAGCTGGCAGTGAGAGGAAATGTGAATCTGAGGGAATGCTGTATTTTGGCAGAGATATATAAAAATACAATACCCACTCGCTGCACTTCTGTTGTTCCCAGCTTTTCAGTAAGCTAGGCTAGTCTGGGAGGCAAACTGGAAAAATGAAGGTGGACAAAAAAAATAGTTTAGCAGCAGCAGTCTGCTTGATTTTCTGGAACCAGCAATCCACTTTGTGTAGTCCCAACTCTGGAGTGAAGCATTGCAGGCTAACCTTGGTTTAGAGCCAAGAGGCCTTCAAAAAGTAACAACTTTGGGTACTTTCACTTTTGGTTTTTCCAGCTTTGGTGTTTCTGCAACTTCTTCATAATCTGCGCTCATTCCAATGGCCCATCGCCCAACCGTAACCTGATCTGTAGAGTGAGAGACAAGAGATCATGGAAAGGCTGAGCATTACCATTAGACCAAAGTTTCACACCTGCAGAAGATTTGGCCTGCAAAGGCCTGTCATTGATTCACTGAAGATCTACCAGTTTAGTTCTAGCTCTGAAGCCAACTCTCCTTACAAAACTTTTTTTTTTAAAAATTGTGTTTTGTAAACTCCCTTTCCTCCCCCATGCGGATTGTCAAGGTTCAGAAATCACCACTACATGTTTTTTCCCATTTGACTGTCCAACGAAACATTTAAAGAGTATGCAGACGATACATTAGCTCTCACAGAAGTCCAAATAACTCTTACGATAAAGATTTCAGAATATTTCAAGCATCCCTGGATATAAAGGAAAGACCTCCTCTATTATATGGATGAAAAAACTAAGCACTGAGGAGGCACGAGAGATTAAAATTTACATTTCTCAACTCACATCCCTGCATATAATCAGCATCATCCTTTTGCTGTTTAAATGCTGTTTAGACCAATTCACAACCCTTTCCTAGAGAAAACACTGTTAACCAACTGATATTTCTTTTCTGAATGACAATCTAATTTTGAGAGCAACAAATCAAATCATACCAAGAATACCACATGGATAAATCAATGTTTATTTGGATTAACTTGGGCATATTAAAGCAGGCCAAATAACTCCACCTGAAGAAATTACAAGCTGTAGTGCCTAAACTTCTTTGCTAGCTATCAGCTATCTTCCTGTAGCATACAAGTTCTCAAAAAAAGGTACAAAAAAAGATTCCAATTCTGCTTCACATACAATTTACAGCCCTGCTGCCAGAGAGCAGAAAGGCTTGCACTGGGCTGCAGTAACAACTGAAGACTGCCATTTCCTGGCAACAGCTGGCCCAGCTTTGAGCAATGCCGTTCCTACAAGCGTTTCTTTTCTTCTACTGCATTTGTACAGGTTTTTGACTTACAAAAAGTATTAACCACACAAAGGTGGTTTGCTGTAAATGTGGCATGCAGAAATCCAACAAGGGCTACATCACAGGCTTTCAACTCAGCATTCATCTGAGTGGGTGCTGCCCAACAACCTGCCATGGCTGATGAGTTTGGGGAAATTTTAAAGACTCTTTTTGTATCAGAAACTTCTGCCAGGCCAGTTAAGACTCTATCTCACTTGTTCCAAACTAGCAAAGCAGCATACATCTCGAAGGTTATGTATGGTCTCGGATGCAACAATATCATATATATAGGATCAGATAGAGAAAGCAGCTAACTTATAGGCCCCTGTCGCCTCCCTCAATATTTCTCACATAGATTCCACAAAAGTTCATAGCATATCATTAACCCAAAAGCTCTATAAGACATACAAACAAAGTAGAAAAATGAAGAAATGTTTCACCACTTCAGTAACAGCCTCGTTCTTCAAACCCATTTGATGCTTTTGCCTTCCTTAGCACGTTTTTGCTGTGTATAATGTAATTCTTCCACCCACACGGAAAGCTGAAGAACACGCAAGCAGCTTATTACCTGGTCAATCTAGCTCCTGTCTCCTCTTTCTCTCCTGTTTTAAATGATTTGAACACTCGTCTGCACCCGCAGCTTTTACAAGCTGCCAGTACCACCACCCTGCAACTGGCGTTATGTTCAGTTCCACCACTTCACACACAAATCATCAAAAGAAGAAACCAATTTTGTTTTACAGTTGCTAAATTTGTGAACAGCAGCATAAATACTGGCTAACAAATACACATTAGTACATAATATTACCTTCAGACACACAAGCTAGGTTTTGGTTTTTTAAACGGAAAGCTCACATTTTGCATTGCAACTTAATGCCTGGTCCTCATACCCCCTAATACAAGCACTCATTCCCAAAGGAAGGTCACCTTCACTATTTGCAAGTTCTCTTCTCAAACCCTTTTTTTCCTGACTGAAGTCAGGCAAAGCAGTAAATAAACATTACTCAGCTGTGCACGCAAACTCCACTCTGTACAGTCCCCTGCATCTCACCTGAGTTCTGTTTTTCCGGACAGTCTTTTCTGAAGTGCTCCACAGAGCCACAAAGTCTGCAGCCACCACCTGTTAAGGGAGAAAGTCATTACTCATCCGGGGGGAAAAAAAAACCCACAAAAACCCAAAAAAACCCCCCCGCTACACTGTTTTGCTCTTCTATGTATATTGAAAAATCCTGTTCTAGTTTTCTGCAGTGACAACCTGTAAATAAGATACGGAAACGTCCCCGTGGAAAGGTCTGCACTCCTAGGCACAATAATATAACATCGTGGAAAAGATACACAGCCAGCTTCAGAAGCCTGCAAACACAGCTTCCTCTGTGTCTGTCTCTCTCTGATGGACAGAGCTATTTGTACTCACACTGCTCTGTAAAGCATCACATCCTACAAATTCCATGCACCACACCCCAAATATTTCTCATTTGTCTGAAGCTCTCTTTTTGAGAAACAATCTGAATTTTGCTGAAATTCAATTATTCAAAGGAAGTTTTGAAATTAATAGGAGCTCCTGAGCGACAGGTAATCCAACTGCAGGTACTGAGGTATTAAATATAAATTCTATTCATAACCCAAGCATTGAAAGTAAAAGCGCAATGCCTCTAAAGTGATGTTTCTTCCAATTTAACTGTTATAAGACCACCCTTTTGAGTTTGCAGGACCTGAAGTTTGTACTGGGAGACAGAATGTTATTTGTTAGTGCCAACAGAGAAACCAGGCAGAGCAGAATCTGAGTGAAATCTTCAAACTTAGATCACATTTCTTATAAAAGTCACTTAAACTGAAGATGTCCTCTTTCTAGCAAGAGCCCTTGTTTTGCGTGAACACCTCCCAAAGTCGTAAGCTATAGGGAGTACGTTCTTACCACACACTTTGGTATACGTACATTTAAACAGACACTGACTACATACACACAGCCTATTATGACTTTGTTTCTTTGCATGCCTCTTGAAATTGCAAGCACAAGCAAGTTCTCATACTTTGATCTCATCTCATTAACACTAAGCTTACAATTAAAACAGAAATCCCTAGGTAATCAGTGAATTTCCCAGAATTCCCCAGAATTAATCTGCTTTTACCAGGAGTAAAAGATATTTGGAAATTCCTTTGGATCCTCATTCACTTGCAATATTACTTTGTTCTGCATCAGGCAAGTATGAAAAATGTGTTTTGATTTTAGTAAATTATCACACTCACCTTCAGCATACAATCCTTTGGGATTATCTGGACACGACCTTGACAGGTGCCCCATCTCACCACAGATGAAACATTTTGCATATGGAAATGCCCCTGCAAAATCCCACATAGTTTATGATCCACATTAAAAAACTTTGCAAAGTCACAGACAACTGTGAACACACTACAAGGACAAGATTTTACTACACAACTATATGATAAATGCTATACTGTCTCTTACACTGTTATGTTCATTGTTACAGTATTGTATTCCTTTAAACATATTAACCTATCTCCTCAGATTACTTAAATTACTAAAACACAAAGCTTGTATTTCAGTAGTCAAAAAACTCAGACCACAGCACTTTAGAAGATACAAATTTCTGAGACATACCAACAGCTGGATCTACTTTTGCTTTGCATTTGCTGATGTCATGTTCTGTGGATCCGCACCGGTAACAGATTCCTGTACCCATATCTTGACTTTCAAGCACTGCAGGACAATCAGCTACACCGTGGCCAGGTTCTCTACAGTGGAAACATACCTTTGAAAATAAAAACTAAGTTATATGCATTGTAACAGACAGTTCACATAGCAAAACATACTACTTAAGGTGGCATTACCAAAGAATTCACTTATTCCTGCTATTTGATTATCACCTATAGCCAGTAGGCTTGGACTAGACCACTACTTCTCTTGGCTGAAACCTTGAGGGTACTATTGGATACCTATCTCTAGCGTGAGATTTGAGGTTACTCTAACATAAAGAGACAAGATTCTGTGAATGGCACTCAAAGACCTGAAAATCCCAGTCTAATAAGGCCTTCTGACTTTCTAGGAGGCAAACATATCAAGGGTTTTCTCCTCAGGCAAAAAAAACAGCTAGACAAAAGAGACATTGTATCCTGTCACAAAATAACTGTCAGTGGTCTACACCATTAAACACCGTATCATTATGGGTACTTTTCTCCTTTTACCAACAACACACGGTATGGGGTATTCACTCACTGACAACCAAGTGCCCTGGATAAAGGATGAACGACAATAGCTGATTGTGACTACAGCACAGTTCTCCAAGCTCTTTTAAGTGTTACTGAAGTAAGCACTTAGGTAAACATAAGCAATGTTGCACCAGTCCTATAATTTACTCATGAAGAACTTGAGTATCTCAGATTAATTAGTAGTAGGGTCTCTTTACTATGTTCCAGGATTACATTTTGCATAAGTTCATGCTGAATGCGTAAATTTGTGCTGAGATAACTGCTTTTAGACAGTCTCATTAGAGTCTGCTGGACGTCTCACTCCAATTCTCAAGCAGAAGACACTGCAGAAAGAGGCCCCAAATCAGCAGTAATACTGTACTGATGAATTACATATAGAGATGCACTGAATCAGCTTCACCCAGGAGACAAGAGGGGCTGGGAATTCATCAAAGAGTGGCAAGAACAGTGTTCAACTGGGAGAGCCACACTAAAGGCTATGACTTAAGCTGAACTTCACTGTTTCAAAGTTGAGATACTTGAGTTCACTTCATTAACCTGAAGTGTCACGTAGCACAGGCTATGCTTCCAGCAGGGAACACCCTCAGCCCCCTCACTGAACCACCTCCTGGCAGGATCAGCAGGGAACTGGGAATACACGTTTTCCACACGTAGCTTTTCCTAAGTTTTTAACAAGCTGCCACACACAGGCAAAACTCACCATGGCGTTTTTCTTCATTTCTTGCCTCTTCAGCCTCCTATCCTCCCGGCGCCTGTCCTTCTTCAGGGCTACCGCCGCCTCCTCCTCCAGCCCA